CCACACACACACACACACTCACACACACACACACTCACACACACACACACACAACAACTCACACACACACACACACACACACACACACACACACACACACTACACACACACACACACACACACACACTACACAGCGGTATGGACGGATCCCATCTGTCAACCAAGTGTAGTTTAAGAGAATGGCTGAAAAGTTATACAGTTCTTTGTTGTTGTTTTTTTCACATCTGTGTTTTGTTTTGCATTTATAAATATATTTTATTAAAAGAATTCAGATTTGAGATTTTGAATCCAAAACAAGTCGTTATTCCAAATAGGAACCTGGAGTAAGTAACTGTGAACATGGCTTCCCGCTATAAACCTTATCGGGATATTTCAGACGGGTTGTTTTGTCTGTGACATGTTAAGGATATCTCAGGTTGGACTGGGAGCCTATTTGTAATAACGACACGTTTATTTGTGTGACCCCGGCATTATTGGGGAATCTTACTATGTTTACTGCGATGTTGTCGTGAACTGTTCCGTATATAAGAATTTTCTATTATACAGTACATGTATGTATATCAAAATCTTCTTGACGTGTGCATTTTCAAACATATTTTTCTACAAAACGTCTTCACTTTTTTTGATGCAGATGTCGTTGGCCTGGCGTTGGACCACGCTGGAGGGGATATCTACTGGACTGATTATGATGAAAACACCATCTCTGTAGCAAAGATGAATGGATCGTCAACTAGAACACTAGCCGTCAGCCGTCCTTATGACCTGGTCCTGGACCCCAAGAATGGGTGAGTAAAATACATTCAAAACTAGAGTTCCACGATCTCATACCTTTTATGAATAAGAACTTATATACAATGTATTAATCCCCCTGATTATGCAAATAGGATCCGCAATTGCATGAATTATATCTGTTGATCATAATCTCCACCAACAGTCTTATTTTAACAAAGAATGCCATTATAGCATTTCCTCATATATTATGCAAATGAGGTCCTTATTTAAATAAGTTTATGTTTACCTTCACTAAACTTCCAACACCCCAAGTATAAAATTCCAGGCAGTTACCACTATGCAATTATAACATTTTCTCATTAATTATGCAAATTAAGTCTTCATTTGCATAATCGATATCTGCCTGTGTTTCTCTCGTTGTTAATAACATATGTCGCAAGCTTGAACTTCCTATCATGGAATGCAGTTGATTAATAGAATTTCCTCATTGATTATGCAAATTACATCCATATTTGCATAATTGTAATATCATTATGTCAAGCATTACTCAAGCTACCTACATACCAAAAATCATGATGATCATGATCAATCGGTTCTTGAGTTATCCTCCTTTAAACATTTGTCCTTTAAACCCCCCTGCAGTTCTAGAGCAAGCAACTAGGGGGCCCAAACTCACGTCACTTCTTCCCCAGCACAAGAGCTACCTGCCATCCAAATTTCGTTACCCTAGCATATCTGGATCAGAAGATATCAAAACCGGAAGTTCAGCTGCAGTACCATGACAAGCCGCCAGGGGGCCCAAAATCTAATCAGTTCGAGCTCTCATCAAGACCTACCCACCTACCAAATATCAAGATAATCCATCTAAGCTTTCTCGAGTTATGCTGTTGACACACAGACACACAGACACACAGACAGACACACGGACACGAAAACATAACCTTCTCCAATTCTTGGCGAAGGTAATCAGGCATTTTACATAAATGGGTACAGGGCTGTGTACGTTAACGTTGTAAATTCGATGCATTTCAACCAGTCCATCGTTTTAAATAACGTCATAGTGCAAACTTTCATTAACATCCTACTGGTAACTAGACTTCCACGATCTCATACATTCTCCAAATGAGGTTAATCTTTATGACTGATAAAGATTATTCCTCCTCATTATGCAAATAGGCTCCTCATTTGCATGAATTATATCAGTTGATCATATTCTCCACCAAAAGACAGCCTTGAGAAAGAAATCCATTCTATTATTTCGTCATAAATTATGCAAATGAGGTCCTTATTTGAATCAGTTAATAATGTTCACCTTCACTTAACTTTCAAATACCCAAAGTATGAAATTCCAGGCAGTTACCATTATGTAATTCTAACATTTTCTTATTAATTATGCAAAATACGTGTTTATTTCCATAATAAATATATCTGCCTGTGTTTCACTCATTCTCAATTACATTTGTCACAAGCTTGAATTAATGTAATACAGCTGATTTATAGAATTTCCTCATAAATTATGCAAATTACATCCATATTTGCGTAATTATCGCATACTTGTGTATCACTTAAGCTACCTACATACCAAAAATCACGACGATCCGTTAACCGGTTCTTGAGTTATCCTCCTTCGTAGATTTTTCAACAAATGCTCAGGAAGTTCTGCTGCAGTACCAACAAAACCCGCCAAGGGGCCCAAAATCTACACATTTTTAGATGTCATCAAGACGTACCAACCTACTAAGTTACATGACAATGCATATAAAGCTTATTAAGTAATGCTGTTCACAGACAAACAGACGAACAATCCCTACTGAAAACATAACCTTCTTGGCGAAGGTAATAAAGTATTTATAAAGAACCACCCTTGCAGTTCCTGAGCAAGCCGCTAGGTGGCCCAAACCTACGTCACTTCTTCCCCAGCACAATTCCTACCTACCATTAAAATTTCGTGAACCTATAGCTATCACCTCCAGATCATGAGATATCAAAACCGGAAGTTCCGCTGCAGTACCACAACAAGCCGCTAGGGGCCCAAAAATGAATCATTCCGATGTCTCATGACTCGATGACTGAAAACATAACCTTCTTGAAGAGGGTAATAAAACTTGATCTGGTGTTCCGGACTCCTGGAATATCATGTTACTGTTTTGTTGTGACCTCTTATTTTGCCATATGTGTGCTTTAGGCAGAGACCATCGATGTGTAGGGATTATGTGGATTACATTTATCATTATGAATAATCTATATCATTAATGGTAATAATAATAATCTAATAACGCTGTTCAAGGAAACACCATTTAATAACATGTATGAAAATTTGGCGGAGATAAGACGTTTTGTTTGCTTGACTCCTTTCACAGACTCATGTACTGGGCGGACCGTGGTAATGACAGAATTGACCGTGCTGCGATGGACGGCAGTAACCCAACCACCATCATCACGGGCCTGTCTTCTACCCGCGCCGTTACAATAGACTATAGAGGTAAGAAACAACACAGCAAGAAACAATTTACTAAATATATTTATTTATACACAAAAGAATTATTAATCATGAAGGAACATTTTGAAATGCGTTCTTTAGTAGGTCGGTGTTACCTGGCTTATTGTATTGTATGAGGGCAGGAGTGGTTTAAATAAATATGTACTACGTGTTAGATCATGATTGAACGTCCTTGGTGTAAGATATTATCTATGTGCACGTCTACCCTCTCTGTAGTGTTACTCAACAGTAGCAGTAGTCACATTGATAGGTGCATAAATCCTTTGTTTGTTCCTCTCATTTAGAGGACCGGCTGTACTACTCTGATGGGACCCGCATGTACAGCTCAGACCTGCTGGGTAACGATATCCAACAACTGCTCTATGAATCCGGGAAGACGGTGCGGGGGATTGCTGTTGACGAGAACTACGTCTACTGGTCGTCTTCCTGGTATTATGGTTATGTGCAGCAAGGAAAAGTCGGAATGTAAGAAAATCCGATTTATCTAGTAAACATTAATGTACACATTTCCCTGCTGATGTCATGTTCTTCTGCTCGATGTTGTATTAAAGGATATGATTTATTTTGTAAACATGCCTTATGTTTGTTTAGTAGGAGATGGATTATATCTAGGTTACTTTCAAGTTGGTGGTTTTGTACTGACTTAGGATATGTATTAACCACGAATTTAGTCCCCGGCTCCATTGGTCACTGATAACAGGGATCGTTTCGCGGTGGTGTTCTGTAATAGCGCCCCAGGGCTTCCACGCCTGACCTCAGTATGCACAAAAAAATTCCGTCGTCCTTTGTGTGATAGTTATTCCGGTAAACTATAACTTGAAAATAACACTTGGTACGGAATCCCCACACCTGATGTGCGTTACCATTTGGGGTACATTATATCGTCCGGAAGCTATTGAAAACGGACCTTCTGCTTCATATTTTGATCACAGTTTAGTAACATGAACGGATGCTCACAAAAGATGTTTTTCACTGCATGTACGTTTAAGAGGTTTTCTACTTTTATTGTTTGTTTTTTGGCGACGCCTCAGGGACGGAGGCATTTGTGTACTAAGATCGCTTTAAAAGGATGTCAAAATTGCACGAATGTATTTCCAAGTGTAGCCTTCGGCCATGTGGTCTTTGTACCGAGAAGTAAACGCCTTTGTTTCTTTGCATATAAAAGGCCCCATTTGGGGCTTACTACTCGTTTTACATTGTACATAAACAATAGCTGTCTTATGTAACTGTTCATGATGTTTAATTTGTTGTATTTTTATCAACAGAAAAAAGTACATTCTTTGAGTTCCGGCATAAGAAAAAAACTAGTAGCAATATAGCAAAGCTATTTCCTGTTTCCTTAGGTGGTATGGAGCACACGTAAAAGTGAGCACACGTCATACGAAGTGATGGTTTCATCATCCTCTATTTTAATTTCCCCACTAGTGGTCCCAGAATCTTGGCTAGAAAACCTGCTAACTCATAGGTGACAAAGCCTATACTGGAGATTATGGGTCGTAGAGGGACACTTCGTTTGTGGATTTTGGGAAGGCCGTAGAAAGCAGGGGGTTGTTCCGTTGTAGGATTGAGTTTTAGGTAGGTGGCGGGATCCAGAACTCCTTCAGTTTGCAATTTCTTGCATTGAGAGCTGCACTGATTTCCTTTTTTAAGGGCATGTAGGTGTCTTTGTCTCTCAAAAGGTCCTGTAACTTCCTGTCGTACTGCTGCCTGTCTAAGACTACTGTGCATCTGCCCTTGTCTGCAGGAAGAATCAATATGTCTTGATTGGTGGCCAAATCTTTCAGAGCGGTCCGTTCCTCCCGTGTGATGTTACTAGCAGGGGGTTTGGGGACTCTCGGGAGGTAGCTACTTTGGTGCGCAAGGCTTCAGCTTGTCTCTGTGGTAAACGTGCCCGATGAATTGCTGTTTATCCAATGACCCTTCCCTCCTGGTCTAATACTGTACTACAGTAGTGTATGTGGGGTAAGAATAAGCTAGTGTGTAAAGCTTGCAATGGTTGTCTATTTGGGAACGGCTTCATGCTTATTGACTTGTTGAAAAGCTTGGTTAGTCGGGGTCCAAGAATATGTGCACCCACTTTTAGGAGCCTATTGTACAAATTATCGAGTCCAGTGGCTTTCCTTACTTTGAGTTTGGTCAACTGGTTTATAACAAATTCTTCCGTAATTAGAGTAAAGACAGATGTGCTGGTGGATTTTTTAACGAACTGGAAAGCGGTAAGGTGGGGAACATTTGAAAAAGAGTCATACAAATCACCTACAACTTTGTGAAAGAAGACATTAAGGTAATCCACTATTCCTTTAGTGTCTGCAGTGATACTCTGGCCATTATGTAGAGTACAGTTTCTGGTGTCTTCTTTGATATTTGATTACGAATGGCTTTCCACATTCCCACCTGTCCCTCTTTTGATCCTTTGATAAATGAGTGTACAGCATGATCTCTTTTGGCCTTCCGGCACAAGTAGATTACTTGGTTTTTCATTGCCTTATATTCAGCCATGTCGGTTGCGTTACTTGAGCTTTTTTGGCTTTTTTATACAAATGCTTTTTAATTGGCGCATGCACATTCGCGACACTGGTGACAAGGTCTATCCATGTGTCCAGCTGTTCGTCAACAGTTGAGAAGTTGTCTAGTATGTGCCATGGCACCTGGGTCAGATCATGAAGGAATTTCTCCTCACTAAATTCCCTGTAGTTCCTTGTATCGTTGAAGAGATTCATTTGGTCTTGGGTCTTGGTCTTGGCTTGGGAGTTAAGGTAGCCAACATCAACTTGCTGATGAATCTGCTACACTGTAGAGTTGGGCTGTAGAATTTTGGACCATCGCACACCGGGGCATACCCCTACTCTTTTTCAAAAAGGTGTGGTGGGATCTTTAACGTGCTCGAGGTGTGGCTCTCCTCAAACACGGGACCTCTAGTTTACGTCCGAGGGACGTCCCTAACCGAAGCTAGGTACTCATTTACACCTGAGTGAAGTGAAGAAATTCGTGTAAAGAGCCTTTCCCAAGGGCACAAGATCGGTGACATGAGTGGGGATCGAACCCAGGACCTCTAGGTCCCAAGCCGAACGCGCTACCGCTGCGCTACACAACCCCACACGTGACATTTGTCACGTATAGATACAGTTACTAGTAGATTATTTCATCAGTGACAAGTTATTTGAAGCGTACTACAACCTCCAAATTTTTTATGGCTTTCAGTCCATCTTGTTCACGGAATGGCCTAATCTCGCGAGAGCGCGAGACTAGGCCCGAGACTTGTAGTCCCTACTATTTATTACAGTAGTTTGTGTCTTAGGACTTTTAGCCCTGTGATAACCAAATGTCATTGCATGGTCACTGACCCCCCCCCCCTCCATCCATATGTTCCTTGTTTATGAACGTTAGATTACTCATTCGTTAAGATTCTGTATCTGTATCTGTATCTGTATAGCCGGTATAACCGCCTTTCGGCGTAACACACCAACTTCGCAGGCACGCGGCGCGGCGGCAGCTGGCTATATTACACCGATCGACTTGTTACACCTAACCCTTGAACTTCTAGCTCTAGACATTGTTTAAAGCTATCTATTGACAATGCCCCTACTGTACTTGGTGACAGTGAGTTCCACTCTGCGATAGTTCTAGGAAAGAATGAATTCTTGAACACCTCAATCCTTGGTTGATAACTCTGGTACTTGAATGCGTGGCTATTTCTTGTTCTCTTCTGGGCTGGTATTAGGTACTTAGTAGTTGGGACATCTACCAGTTTATTAGTCATTTTGTACATCATGCATAGTTTAGACATCTTTCTTCTGTCTTCCAGTGAGGTCCACTGTAGGTTTCTTTTCATTTCCGTGACACTAGCACCTCTTATATAGTTGTTCATACAGAATCTTGCAGCTTGATTCTGTACCCTTTCCAATTTGTCTTTGTCTTTCTTTGTATATGGATCCCACACTGTCGCAGCGTATTCTAGGTTCGGTCTTACAAGTGACGTGTATGCAAGTGATTTTACTCTAGTTGGACATGCCCACAGATTACGTTTAATCACTCCCAATGTCTGTTTCGCCTTAGTTGTGATATTATTAACATGTGCACCCCACTTCAGTCCGCTTGTCAGTGTGACGCCCAGATACGGATGGATTTTTGTGGTTGCTAAAGCCTGACCACAAAACTGGTAGCTAGTTGCATGTGGTGTTCGTTTGTTGTTATGTGCATAATGTAGCATTTTTCGGGATTAAACTGCATGAGCCATTTGCTTTGCCATTCTTCCAGGGTGTTCAGGTCTTTTTGGAGAAGTTGTGAGTCGGTCTGTGTAGAAAGCTCTACATACAATAGACAGTCATCGGCAAATAACCTCACATTTTGAGTCAAGCTGATCTGGTAGGTCATTTATATGCAAGAGAAAGAGCAATGGCCCCAGGACGGTTCCTTGAGGGACCCAGACGCTACTTTAACTGGAGCCGACGCCTTCCCTTCAACCACTACTGTTTGCTCCCTGTTGGTCAGGAAAGCCTTTAACCAATTCAGCGTAGGCCTTGGATTCCATAATACTCCAGTTTTGAGATGAGCCTGCCATGGGGGACTTTATCAAAGGCTTTAGTGACATCAAGTATTGCTAAATCTACCTGCCGTTTACTGTTTAGTGCGCCAGCTATGTCATGGACTGTTAGTATAAGCTGTGTTTCTGTGGATCGTTTGGCTCTGAATCCATGCTGGTAATCCGTTAATATACTGTAACTTTCTAGGTGCTTCATGATTTGGCTATGGATAATATGTTCAATTAGTTTGCAGGATATGCAGGTCAGTGAAACAGGTCTGTAGTTGCTGGGGACCGCTCTATCTCCTTTTTTAAGATGGCGCATATATTTGCATCCCTCCAATCTTTAGGGATTTCTGCAGTGTTTAGCGAGTGTTGGAAAATATTGGCTAGAACAGGCGCGATTTCACTAGCTGTCAACTTGAGGAACCACGGTGGTATTTGGTCTGGTCCGGATGCTTTAAAGGGATTGAGACCTTGAAGCATTTTTTTGACACCATCAGTAGAAACTACTATATGTTCCATTGGAGGAGTACAGGGCTGGCCGAGAGATGGCATATCTGTGGTGTCTTCCTCTGTGAAAACACTTTTGAACTGTGAACTGAGTACTTCTGCTTTTCTTCCACTGTCACTGATGATGGTATTTCCCACCTTTAGGGGTGCTACCCCGACAAGGTCTTTCCTCAGTCCTTTTATGTACGACCAGAATGTTTTGGGTTTGTCAACTATAGCTTCTCCCAGTATGTCTGCCACGTATTTAGAGTGTGCTTGTCTTATGCTTTTCTGAACTCCCTTCTTAACTCTCTTATATTTGTTCCAGTCTTCCTCTTGGCCTGTTTTCTTAGCTTTGTTATAGAGCCGCTGCTTCTTACGACAGTGCCTCCTTAGGTTTCTGTTGAACCAAGGC